TTCTATGGTCTTCTGTATTCATTGTACAGTTTTCAACACCCTATTTGAATTCATCAAGTTTTCTTTGGTCTTTCTTATTCATTGTAGTTTTCTACATGAATAGGAAACGACTGAGAATACCATCACTTGAGGTAGGCACACTTTAGTGCTCTTGAACACTTTGAAAAGGTATTTTGCAACAGATTTGCCTAATGTGGTATGTCATTTGATTTCTTGACTCCTTCTTCCATGAGCATTGATTGTGCATGCAAGCAAAATGAAATCTTTGACAACCTCAAAGTCTTTTCTCCATTTATCATGATCTTATTTATCTACTCTCCAGAGCAAGTTTCAGAGTCTCTTCTGGCATTCACTTTAGTCTTTTTTTGTTTTTTTCCTTGTCTTGTTAATGACCTTTTGCTTTCTTCACATATGATGTTCATGATGTCATCCCCACAGCTCTTGCGTCACTAGTGTCTATTGCAACAAATTTGTTCTTGAAATGGTCTCTAAATTCAGCTGGGATCTACTCAGGGTCATATTTTGGCTCTCATGAACTTAATTTTCTTTAGCTTCAGCCTGAACCTGCATATCAGCAGTTGATGGACTGCCCCATAGTTGGCCCCTACTCTTGTTTTGGCTGATGATACTGAGCTTCTCCATCAACTCTTCCCACATATGTACAGTCAGTTGGATTCCTGTGTACTCCATCTGATGAGGTCCATGTATATAGTCAGTGATTATTTTGTTGAAGGAAAGGTATTTGAAATGAGTAGTAAGTCATTGGTCTTGCAAAATTCTATCATGTGAGCTCCAGCATTGTTTCTATCACCAAGACTGTATTTTCTAACTACTGATCCTACCTCTTTGTTTCCTACTTCCACATTGCATTCACCAGTAATTATTAATGCATTCATTGGCTTGGAAATGAGTCTTCACATATGACTCTTAATTTCTTTCAGTACTTTAAATATATTTCGGTAATTCTAATGATCTTATCCTCTAATTCACTGATTCTTCTGCCTAATTAAAATCTTTCGAGTGCATTCCTAATTTCAGTCACTCAGCCTTTCAGTTTTAGTATCTTATTTTAGATCATTTGGATCTTGCCTTGTTTTTCTTTTTTAACCCTTTGTTTTCCTTTCATTATTTAATTATGTTGAATGTATTCCATTTTTTTCAGTATTTGACCATTCATAGATGTGTTTTCACTCCCTTTGCATGTTCATTTGGATAAGCCATTGTTCCTTTTTTCTATCATGTGAGTCTTGAGTTGGGCATTGAAATTTTCAAGGGTGTTGATGTTTTCTCCGGTACTTGGTGTTTTTGCTCACACTACTTTTTACAAGAAACCATTAGGTAGGTGTAGAGCCTTTGATTACCATTTCCTTTTCCTCTTTGTAATAATGACTTCTCCCTCTCTGGTTTAATTGGGATTGAAAAGTTTGATTTTGTTTCAGTTTTAGACGAATCGGGCTGCTAATCTCACAGTCAGCAGTTCGAAACTACCAGCTGTTTTGCGGAAGAAAGATGAGGCTTTCTGCTCCCGTAAAGATTTACAGATTCAGAAACCCTGTACATGGTTGCTATGAGTTGAAACCGACTCCACAGCACATAACAGCAAAAAACAGACCAGAGAACACACGGTGGTCAGTATGCCCACCAGGGAGTGGAGGCCTCTTTCAGGTTCTCCCTTCCTCTGTTTCTCATGCTTTTCATCAGAAAACTCAAACTCAGCACAACCCTTGGGCGGAGGGGGCGGTCGCTGAGTGTTGCCTTATGGTTTTGCCTAAGGTTCCCTTCCTCTGTTTGTGGGGGCTGCTTATGTCGGAGCTGACATTCAGGAGAAGCACAGGCAGATTCCTTCCATTTCAGGAGGAAGAGTTGCTAGCACTCCCCAGAAGGACCTCTAAGAGATCCGTCTTGGTTTCAGAGCCCCAGTCCCCCTGTGGTGGTTGGGGAGCCGTCTCTTAGGTGAGCCACCTAACTCCACTGTAGGAACCTTCTGTGGGCATTTCTATCAGTTCAGCAGGGCAGGGATAGTCCCACTCTGAACAGACCTCCAGGAGGGTCTGCCTGGTTGTATGAGAGCCTGCTCCATATGTAGTATAGTGGCTGTGGGTGTAGCTTTCACTAAAGATGCTTGCTTCACAGCATACAGCATCCTTGAGCAGCAGGCCTCAGCACCAACTCGAGGGGGACCAGATAGACTCAAACTGATATCCAGGGAGGTCTAGCCTGTCAAAGGCCTGAGCTACAGGTTATACAAGGAGGCAGGCAGAGCCTTGACTATGGAAGCAGGGCCCTTCTGTGGCAGTTTGCAGCAGAGTGGCAACCAACAACTGCCAAGTTGGGGGTGGGGGGTGGGGAGGCTGTCATGCAATGGTCAGATCCCCATGGAAGTCTATCTTGTTATCAGAGTCCGCTCTCCCCCAGCCCTCCCCAGTAGATTGTTGGCTGTGAATACAACCTCCACCCAAGACGACTTCCTAACACATAGCACCCTTAGTCAGTAGTCCTCAGCACCAACTGGAATTGGGGAGAGACTAACCCTAGTTGACCCCCAGGAGCCTTCTTGTTGGCTTAGGGTGCACAGGAAGACAGGTTAGAGCTGATTATGGAAACAGACACCACTGTAGGCCCGTTCTGTAGCAATTCACAGCAGGCTTGTAAGTGACCGCCTGGGTTCAGGAGGGTCTGTCATGCTCCAAGTGGGCCTCCTGGGATGTCTGCCTCATTGCTCTCAGAGCCCTTCCTGTAGTAGTTGGGCAAGACGCCTGCTTCTTAGCATATAGCAGACACAGTCAGCATCCTCAGCACCAAGCAAAACAGGGAACAGACAGACCTGGACTCCCCAAGAGCTCTGTTCTATTTGGTTTCACAGGCCTGAGGTATGGGCTATGCAGGGAGTCCATTCTACTGCACAGGTCTTCTGTAGCAATTCTCCGAGCAGACTTGCAGCTGGCAATGTCTGAGTAGAAGTACTGGCACACTTCAAATGGGCCCTCCAAGAAGCTCTGTCTTATTGCTACCAGACCCCCTGGACTATGGTGGCTGTGGGTGTATTCGCTGCTTCTTAGCACATAGCAGCCAGAGTCAGCAGTCCTCAGCACTGACTGAAAGAGATAGCAGACAGACCAAAACTAACTTGCCAGGGTCGCTTTCAGAGGCTTGAGCTGCTGGGGTGCCCAGGGAGGCTGATAAAGTTTTGACTATGAAAACAGACTCACTGCATAGGCCTTCTGAAGCAATTCACAGCAGGTTTGTAACTGACAAAGGTCTACTTGGGGGAGGTGCTGGCACACTCCAAACAGATCCCCGGGGAGGTCTGCATTGTTGATTTTAGAGCCTGTCTCTGTACCAGCGGATGCTACAATGGTTAGGGAAGCAGGCTCTTTTTCTGGGGCCACTACCCCAGTTTACAGCAGCTGGCAGCCTGTATGGCTGGGGAAGAAGCAATTTTCTTACTGTATGTAACTTGTTATTGATTTGTTGATTCTTGCCTGCCTGCAGTTCCCCACTGCTTTCCTTTGCTAAACACTGTTTCCTTGATTCTGTGGAAGACAGTCAGGACGAGAGTTTGTTTATGCCACCATCTTCTCAAAATTCAAAACTAAGCTTTTTAGTGCTTTTATTTCATATTAGATTGACATTTCTGATGTATTTCTAAAATAAGAATCATAAGATTATAGTTTAAAGAAAAAATTCAATCTGAGCAATTTCCTTGACAGATTAAACTGCCTAAGGCCAGGTATAGGTAGAAAGCTTTTCCCACAAAGGGCCAGAAGGTAACTACTGTAGGCTTTGCAGGCCATATGGTCTCTGTCCCAGCTGCTCAACTCTGCCACTCTTGTGGGAGAGCAGCTAGACTGTATGTAAATAAACAAGCATCGCAGTGTTCCGGTGAAACTTTATTTACAAAACCAGGCAGTGCGCTATATTTGTTGATTCCTGACCTTAGACAGTATTTATAGGGCAGTTCTAGTATTGTTGTGTATCAGAAGTACTGGTGTAGGCACTGTAGGGTAAGCATTTGACCACAAGGTTAGTTAGAACTGCAAGGTCGGTGGTTCAGACTCATGAACCACTCCTCTGAAACCCTATACAGAATTACTATGAGTCTCGCTATGGGTCGGCACCGACTCGATGACACTAACATCATCATTATTGTACTGTTAATTAGGACCACTGGTGGTGCAGTGGTTAAGTGCTGGGCTGCTAACTGAAAGGCTTGGTGATTCAAACCCCAGCAGCTCTGGGGGAGAACAGTTACAGCCTGGGAAACCCAGTGGGCAGTTCTACTATGTCCTGTGTGGTCACTGTGAGGCAGAGTCAACTTGATGGCCCACACACAGCACCATCGTAGTAGTAAAGGCTTGAAATGTCATACTTGGACATAATTTATCTTATATCTTCATTAATTCCAAATTATTCTATTGTAACCTGATTATAAATAAAATAGTACGTCTCCTATAATGTACTTACTTACAGGTTATCTTAAAGGAAAACGTTCTCACTAGGTTTTAGGTCTAAAGAGTTGTTAAGTGCCGTCGAGTCGGTTCCGCCCCATAGCAACCCTGTACAGGGTTTCCGAGGGTGTAAATCCTTACGGGAGTAGAAAGCCTCATCTTTCTCCCGTGGAGCAGCTGGTAGTTTCGAAC